ACACACACACACACACACACACACACACACACACACACACACTAATGGCTTGAGTTTTCCTGAGGTGGAAGATCAAAAAGAGGAAGCCTTGTTGATAAGATTAAGCACCGAATGCAGCGGGCTGAGGGGGAAATATGAAAGAGAACGATCGATTCAAAGGTCAGGAAATGACCCGCAGAACAAGCAGAGTGGAGACGGCTCGGTTTTAATCAAGCACAAGATAATCAAAGTTAAGAACTGAGTGCCAAGTCTGAGAAGGCATCTGGATGGCTGTGGATAAGAATCTCTTCAGTTTCATGTTCAGTCTGAGAGTCTGTGTGGATGACTTTGTCTTTAGGTGGAGAGTTTTAGAGTTGTTGGTGCATGAAGAAATGAACTGAAGGAAAAACTGCCTGACCCTGTTTTGTTTTAATCTGGAGCTATTCAAGTGTTACTGTAAATACTGAAACAATAGTTTAGGGGTACAATATTTAAAAACTGGTTTCTCAAACCAATCGCCAGGTTCAGTAAATTACAAGAAAGCACTGGAAATGCTCTACTCCTGAGAGATGAAGCAGGAATCATTGATTGGTTCTGCACATTTCATTCTGAAACTGCAGTGCCCCCCTTGGGACAGTCAGCATATTTCTTCCCCAAAAGCCTGGGTGCAGTATTATGATGCATTTGTTTTGGTTGAAAAGTCATGTGATGGTATTTGTGTCAAAAGAACCATTTGGAAGAACCATTTGGATGTACGTGGGGAAAACTAAAAGCCCTAAAAGCTTTCAATTTCTGTTAACATGTTTGAAAGTTTTTTGGCAGCACCAACTTTATGAGGTTTCTGTTAAGATGACTCTGAAGATTTTTTTAAATAAGACTACGTCACAGTAGGGAAGTATTCTGATCGTACTCTCACTGAACGTGTTACCAACAGCTCTGAAAACTTTATAAGATGAGGAGAAGAGCAGATGATAACAGCAGACAGACCCAGGCAAAAAAAGACAAAGGAAAAAATTTAAAACATAAGGAACAGCTAAATGTGGCCCCAATGCACATCTTCCATCAATTGACTACCTTTGATTAAGATTGCCTATGTATTGAAATATAGACCTTTTTTTGCCCAGTTCTGTCATCCAACAGTTTCAAAAATGACAAGTTTAGAAATGTATTTGATCTTGTGCTCCCACTTAATGATGAATGGTGATGATTTGGCTTGAAATATAATCAGACAAACCAGATTGTTGAGCATAAGACAAAACTTTGCTAATCATGTCATTTTTCTCTCCCCCCAGCAAGTTAGATCAGTAGTTAGGACCTAAGTTGAAGCAGTGACAGCAATAAGTGGGTACCAGTTTTCCTCAGTTTTCTCCCCATTAGCTCTCCCGCAGTGATCCGGAAACGCTTGCACTCATCTTCACTGGAAAAGTTCAGACCCACTTGGCATGTCTGTGAACACACAAAACAGAAAAGAAATTAAAAAACTGTTATAAATAGAATTTTGGTACTTCTGTATATCTATGGGATAGTCTATGGGTTTCCAAACACACTTCCATTATGCGTATACTGCAACTGAACAACAGTGCCGTAAAGCTTACGGTCTGCTCAAGTCTAACCCACCGTGCTAACCAACAGTTTGTTTGCTCTTTAAATAAAGACGTCTTGTGACATGAAAAGCTTTAGAAGTGACACAAAGCTCAAATATCTGGTTCCGTCACTTTAATGGTGGTGCCTTTTGGTAAGCACACCTGGAAGTTTGGTCACACATGCATGCATTCCATGGCAGGTTTCCATCAGAATTTCTGGACTGAATGAAGATTATGATGAAGGAAATATGTTCTGTGGTAAACTTTAACTGATGTAGACATGCTTTCAGGAACATTTGAACAAAAAATAAGGAACCAAAACATAGGCATGTGGTTTTCAATGCCACATACTGGCTACAGAAAGTACAATTTGTACCTACTAATTCCATTAAAATGTGAGACTGCATGGGTGTAATGTTTACTCAGCAGTACACAAAAACAGAGCCACACACAGCTGAACAATCCCCCCAAAAAACAAACAAAAAACCAAAAACCCACATTAGTACATTACTTTGTTAAAGTCTTGAGCCACCCCCCTGCTCTGCATCAATACAGTGATTAGAACAATACCAGTGTAGGTATCGCTTAAACCTTATCGATATCCTTTCTTGGTCACACACTGCAGAACAATCTAAATGCTGACTTTGCTGTGCAAGAGACAATATTTTTCAGCAACACTAACAGTTAACACAAAAGAAATTTAAAGCAGGGGTCTAAATATTATCAACTAACCTGAGGTTGAGAAAGATAAGTAAAAAGACAAATGTAACTGCCGAGGGAAAAAAACTTACATCTCCAGCAAATGTGATGAAGTATGGTTTGGTGCCACTAATGCTAAAGTTGTTGTACAGCTCCTGTTCATACATCACCTTCCCATCCTGTGGAGAAACAGAAGCACGGCTGAATACACAATAAATAAACAACCAACTAATAAAGCAAGTAGAAAGTTGAAATTTATTATCACGATAACTCAATAAGAAGCCATCTTTTACACACAGAATTGCCCCTTGCTTCCCATATACCTACCCTGATGTCAAAGACCCTGATGAAGTAGGATCGTTGGGGGTTGTCTTTAACCAAACAGGCCACCCCGCAGCATTTCTTGTTCCAGCTGGAGCTCCTATCTGCTGTGAATACCTGAACCACGCCTGAAGACAATGTCTGGAAAAAAGGACAGAGGGAGGAGGAGAGTGAGAATCGCAAATATCTGTGTTAATGTACTATACAAAGCATGTTTTATATAGCCATGTGCCAGAGATTTACAAGCTGGATCCTAAAGGAATAAAGCAAAATTAGAAATGTAATACAGATAGAGAACACAAACACCCCACTTGCCTTAAAATAAGTAAAAAAACAACAAAAAACCCCTGATAGTTTCACTAGTTTTTAATGATATGTACAATATAGACTCGAGGCATAATTACTCCAATTGAGTATTATGAATATTGCATGCATTTCAGCATCTCCTTAAATTAAATATTCCATAGAAATTCCAACTATATTAACGCATAACCCATATACACACGCAATAAAAGGCATAGAAAAAGGCAAAGAAGCCAACATTTGTTTAAGACAAAAAGGCATCATATTATGTGCAAACACACTAAAAACACACCTGTAGTGCACACAGAGACATGATCATAAGGCAGGGTTCGACACCTGCAGTTTTTACAGGTTGCTGCAGGGTGTTTCTAACACTGAGGGAGTCCACGTTCACAGCCATTAACACATACATGAAAGCAATACCATCACGACAGGAAATGCCCGGTGAGCTTCTCATCTAAAATGAGTTCCAGGATGTACTGCAGGTATTAAGACAACATACGGAGGAGCCCTTAGATTATTCTTTGTAATTTAGTGGGAATGAGAGGTTTTGTTAAAAAAAACAAACAAACAAAAAAAACCTAAACAAACACAAAACAAAACAGGGCAAGTAAATCACCCTTTTCTAATATACTAACATTTGTTGTGGGGGTTTTTTGGGAGGGGGGAATTTTTCTGGCTTTTGGGGTTTTGTCCATCTCTTCTTTTTTTTGGACAGATCCTCGAAAGTCAGTCACAGTACAAGATCAGTATCATCAGAAAAATTCCTATTCTACATGTAATACTGAAACTGGTAACAACCACACCACAAGGTTCGTCTTTGCAGTACAGCAGACGTCATCATGATGATTCTTGGAATATCTGGATGCACACCTCATTAGCTTCCACTTCCTTCTACTATTGAACTGAAACTAAAAGTTTGATTTTGCAGTCAAAATGCAGATACATTTTCTTCTGCAGATGAAAAAAAGCCCACTGTGCTGGGTTTAACCGCTAAAATAAAACACTGGGTACTATTGAGTATTGTTTATTGCCCTCATAATGCCAATTTTGATATCTCTGCAAGAAAAAGGCTTCCAGTCAGTGACTCCACACACCACACTCTTCCTACAAGCTGAGTTTAGCTAAACAAATGGCAGTCCTGGCCTTTCAGAGGAACTGCTGCGATACTGGGACAAACTGATCTCATGTTAGGATCTGATACTGATCCCATCCTGGTTTAAAAAAAAAACAAAACAGATATCTGACAATCTATTCAATTCTATATTGGTCTGTCTTTATCATGTCACGGATCGGGAGCAGTGACTGGGTTAGTAGCGGGAGAGCCAACACAACATTACAATAAAGCATCAACTTAAGTGCAATTTGTGTTGGAGCCTCTCTTTCTTGCTTATTCACTCTCACTCTGGTCACTCTTAGACACTTTCAAAATCTGTTGGAAAACCCACTTTTATATGAGAATGAGTTTGTACTACTTTTGTCTTACTTCTTACTAAAATCTCTTTTTATGCTTCTTTTCTTAATTTTGTCATGCACCAAGAAATATTTGTCAGCAAACCTTTACTGTACTATCATGGCAACATAATGTGGTGTCAATTTGATTGACATCATTTCCCTTCACCTGTCTCCCATTAGCTCAACTAC